CCCAAGTCCCCTAGCAATATGTATCTTGAGAGGAAGTGGACTGTAGGACTTGTTGGAAACAAGGGCAGGTCCTATTTAGGAGGGGCTGGGCTGGAGCAGATTACAAGCGAGTTTGGGTTTGTTAATCTCTCCAAAAGTGCATGGTTTGGGCCTTCAGGCAGCGACCCTGATACTAAGCACTCACCGAACAGCTGCAGGGAACTGGGCTGGTACTATGCACAAGCCCAGCCACGTATGCCAGTGTTGGCTGCTGGAGTAGATCCCATGACTCAGGGTGGTAGCACAACTCGGGGCAGCTCTAGTGAGCGTGGAGGGCGGTAAGGCAGGGCTCAGGATGCTAGAATCTGCAAGTGTGAAATCCTGTGCAACTATGAGCAGCAAAACCAGCAGGGTGTTCACAGAGGCTGTGCTGGCTATTGGTTTCCTCAGCAGCTGTTGAGGGCTGGTGGGGTCTTCTGCAGAGCAGGACATGGGAAATCATGACTAGCAGTTCCTACTCTTCTTTGTTCTTTGCTGTCACTAGATTGTTCATTTAAGCCAGCAGAGTGGGCATAATGATCCCAAAGCAGGCCATTTGTACAGCGCCCTGAAAGAGTAGAGAAAATTGGCACTTGCCCTGTTGTTCTTCCACAGCAAGGGCAAGTCTCTCAGGCTGCGGAGTTCCCTCCTGGCACCGAGCAGTGCTGCCCTGGGGGGTGACATGATGCAGGCAAAAGGAAACTATTCTCCCTACCCATTCTGTTCAGTTTTTCTCAGGGTTGTTTTGTGTGTGTTTTTCTCCACTTGGTGGCTGAAGATTCTTGAGTGAAGTACTGAACTCTCCTAGACCTATTTTTGTGTGTGGATAGCTGTCTAATTGTTCTTTGTGGGGCAACGGAAGCTGGAGTCTCTGACGTTGCCATCTTAGTGATGTTACTCCAGGCTTTCATTAGTAAATGTGATGTTACTGTAGATGCTCTTTATCAAGTTGAGAAACTTTCTCTCTTCCTAGTTGGTGAGTTGTTTTTTTTGTCCTGAATGTGTAATGGAGATATACATTTTTAAACCAAACATAGTGTTAAAAGATGGAAGTAATTTTCATGTAGGGTGGCTTGATAGGTCAGTCCCAGCCTGAGAAATAGAATTATCTCTTCCTTGTCCTTCTTCTATCCTTGGTGGAAAAATATAAGGATTTCCATGTAATTTTATTATTTTTAATAATAACAAAGAGATTCCTAATCTTTTAAGTATTAACTACAGTGTGGCCTTGACTTACGAGTTTAATTCGTTCCAAGACTGAGCTCGTTAAGGAGCTCGTTAAGGACCTCATTAACTCAAATTACTCTGTCAACTCAAAGAAAAAATTGGCCGAGAAACAGCTGGTATCTCAAAAAACTCGTTAGCCGGGACACTCGTAAGTCAAGGCCCCACTGTACTTTTAAAAAAACCCACCATATCAGGACATTCTATTTTTCAGGTTGCCTATGTTGTATATATAAGTAAAAAACAACTGGTCTGAGGCAATATACGATTTGCCAAAGTTATCTGGCTAACAGTAAAGAATCCCTTTCTATTCTGCACAGCCCAGGAGGATATACTAGGACTATTCCTATGTATTCCCCTGAAAAAGCCGTTTCCCTAACACATGGGTCCTTTGCACTGAAAAATATGATTGGAATAAAGGCTGGAAACCACATCAGGTGGCTGGATGTCTCCTGAACCTTCATGAGATGCTAGGCGTTGGGGATAAGTATGTATTGAGTATCTAGCATAGGGCCTGCTACTAAGTAGACAGTCACTAAATATTTGTTGAATAATTGATGTCCGCTTAACAAATTTTCTTCAATTGTTGAAAACTCCAAAACTTATACAGGGCAAAATGTCTTTTGCTTTTAATTCTAGCCTTTTCCTGCAGTGGGGTTTATGAAAAGTGCCATCTCTATAGCTGAGGATGAAACTTGGAAGAGAATAAGAACATTGCTGTCTCCAACCTTCACCAGTGGAAAGCTCAGAGAGGTAAGAGTATAAGAGGATACTTAACTTGAAACTTAAAGAATGCATCTGGGGACAGGTAGAAAGTAAGATCATTTCTTTCCAAGGATAGCCTGCTGAATGTGAGCTTCCTAATAATGGTTTTTTATCTTTATGTCCTAGAAGTGACAATATAAGATTCATTATAAGATATCACTTACTGCTCCATGCTTGAGAAAGCCAGGTCTTCTAGTACTTGAGTCTTCCCACTTAACTGCGGGTGTTGTTGTGTTTTGGGTCTTTA